CTTTTTCCTCTATTCAATGATCTCCCCAGTGACGTCGCGAAAAGAATTTTCTGTTCTTGATTTATTTTGAGTAGAATGCAAAGCCACCGCTCGTGGTAAAAGCAGTGCTGCCGCTGCTGAGAGCGAATACATAGGGAGGTACAGGAAGTTTGTGCCCCTTGATTATACTGCGGAATACTAAAAGAACCTATGCATTGTGCCACCTGTTTTTCCAGCTCTTTCTCAAGAAACAGCAGCCATGGTGGACATACTTGATGACTTGCAAATTGACTTAGCAGGTGATGGGCGATGTGACTCTCCTTGCTACAGCGCCAAGTATCTCACGTACAGTGTGCTTGCCATGCAGACTGGCTGCATTTTACACACTCAGCAGGTGCAAATCGCAAAGGGAAACTTACAGCACTACTGGTATACTGTTCAAGTGCTAACAAGACCTCTCGCTACAGTTTTGCTTATAGTCACCCGAAGTCCCCAACAGTGTCTCAATGAAAAAGGAAGGGCTTGCTAAGTGCCTGAATGCTGCGGAAAATCTAGGCATCAACATACGCTCGTTGACAACAGGTACCATATGTTTGTGCGAAATTCGCGAGCGAATCTAAGAAACAACAAGTGAATTAAAAAAATATCTTTATGTGAAATTGCTAAGAAATTATACTGTTTCAAGAAGGAATGTTGGATGCAAGGGGGGCATGATAGTTTTATCACTCTTGTAGAAAGCACTGTGTGTGCCCATGACAGCAAGTCCAATGGACTTACTAGGCATAATTTTTTCCAGACCGACGTCCTTAAGTCAAGGTATACTGCCGCAAGAACAAGCCAACCATGCCACACTGGTATGATGTTTGGCACCTTGCTAAAAGTAAGCATGTACACCGTTTAAAAAGTTTGTGTGGGGCATGTACAGTAATTCAGCCCGCTCTGATAAATAACCCTAGAAGGCTGATGTTTACACATGAGTAACATCTTAACAGGCTTGTTAACTAGTAATCATTATAGATGCAGTTGCGACTTGCAAGTCAGCAAGTTTCCTTTTGCATGCATGACCTAATCACAATAATAAAGACAACCAGCAATAACATACTAGGTTATAAAAAATCCTAGGAGCGCGACTTTTCAGAAACATGCCAAACATTTGCTGGAAAATTTATGTTGCATTCATATTTGTAGTGAATGAAATTAGACCATCTGCTAAAGGGAGCCATGTGTAGATGCAAAGCACTTAGCACTAGCACTAATGCTCACACTGGCGGCGACATGACCCTGGCGTACATCAGGTGAAAGCTAAGTAAAGACGTTCTTGATTGAACTTCGAATGCGCGATTCAGTGCCTACATATATGGGGTGACCAGTGAACGGTTGTGCAGTCGGTTTTACACTATCATTTGGACTTGCAAGGCGAGAAAGCGGATGGGGAGGGACAGTTTTGCGGGTCTCACACGCGACGAATGGCAACAGGCTAGGGAGAGAGTGACGTCAACGTCGGTGCACTGAAGAAAGGCGTGACTTACTTGGCACCACTTCAACACCTGTGGACAGGGGAGCGTGGTGCCGATGGAGGGACAGCGTTACACATTCTAGTCAACGAGCTCCTTCACATCTAAAAAAACCAGGCGCAGACACAATTAGGAAAAGACACAATTAAGAAACTCATACAAAGTACGAGCACTGGTCCTGCTGCATATGTGTTCCTTATGTCTGCATCTGCTTTTTTTCTTTCTATGAATAAGAGCACAAGTGACTCATAACTAGCCCACATCACCGCTTTGGCTGCTCAAACATGTTATGACATTACAGGCAAGCACATTGCCGAATGCTCTAACTAGAGACTCTCAGAAAAACTTTTTTATCTTACAGTAGGAAACAGAGCTGACACCAAAATTTCTGTCGACTTAGCTCTGTAATGCTTTCACATTAAGAACAAGTCCCTGTAGTGTGCTTCTTACAGAAAAAAATGTCTTCTAACCAGCCGTATTGTGCTTGTTACAGAAAAAAAATGTCTTCTAATCAGCAGATTCTGCCCCCAACTCCAGGCCTAAAGAAAAAGCTCCTAGCTGCCAGCCGCAAGCATCGAGTTCTCTCCCCTTGGATCTAAAGCACCATCAACCATCTCTATTAAGTTGTTGCAATGAGCGAAGGAGATGGAGACTGTTGTAAATACGGTATCAAATTATGGCGTCATGCGCAAACTGTCAATGCGCATGCGCCAGGCCTTTTTTTATTGTATTCGTTCTTACCTTTCACTTTACAATTTTGCTTATATACATGTGTGATATGAACGCTTTCTGAGTTTTTTCCGGCTGTCACAGAATCGTCAACATCTCCGTTCTTTCAGAGTGGCGTCAGACACGCCGCTATGCAACAGTGGTGACGAGCCAAAAAAACACCCACGCTGTCAAGCATGAACTCGAAGCTAAGCATCCAGTGACAGCGTACCGCTGACAGCGACGACCTCCTACATGCTTCCAAACTTCAACGACACCAGAGATAAGTGGAAGCCGTACCTCATCAAAGTTGAGGAGTATTTTCAGACGAATGCTATTTCGGATTGCGCAAACAAGAGGGCATTTCTAGTAGCTGCACTTAGCACATGGACGATACAAATCCTGCTGGGAAAGATAGCACCCGCAAAGGCCAACACCTTGAGTAATAATGACATAGTCAAGGTGTTAAATGACCACTACAGCCCGAAGCGTAATCAAATCGCTGAAAGCTTCCTGTTTTTCATCCGTCGCTAACAGGAAGGGGAATCCATTCAGGATTTTGTCGTCCCATTCCGTCGTATCGCAGACAATTGCAATTTCGAAAGCTCTCTGAAAAGGCTACTTTGTGATCAAATTGTCTGTGGCGTACGTTCAAGTGCTGTGCAGAGGCAACTTTTGGCAAAGACAAATTTAAATCTGAAGGATGCTGAGATGACAGCGATGGTCGCTGAAACTGCCGAAAAAAAACGCCAGGACAATGTCGGCGGACGTACCACCTGTTCTTAAAATGGAAGCGAGTCACAAGCTACCATCCCTATCAAGCATGGGTAGTTTGGGGCGATTGGAGTGTAGTAGGTGTGGCAGTACTAGGCATGACAGCAATGGCTGCAGATGAAAAAATACACGATGTTACGCTTGCGGCTTAAGGAGGCATCTGGCTAAAGCGTGTTGCAGTCCCATTGGTAAAGATGCTACCGGCCGTCAGCGTGTCCCTCGCGCGAAAGCTTTGGCCATAGAAGAGGCTACTTCAGAAGAAGACACCAGTGATAGTGTTCAAATCTGGACGCAAGCGGCAGCACGAAAGAATTCACTTGAGCCACCGCTAAGACGAATGTGTAGTTGGGGAGGCGTGAACTTATCAATGGAGTTCGCCACAGGTTCACCACTTTGTGTCATATCACGATAGCTTTTTGAGAAACAACACAAATGCTGTCCAAGCTTGACGCCTTCGCACGTCAAGCTATCCTGCTACAGTGGAAGGTTGCCGGTGATGGGCGAGCTACAGCTTCGTGTGAGTTATCGCGGCGTTTTTGTTGACTGCTCGCTTGTGGTTCTAGATTGCCCTGGACCAAGCTTATGTGGCCGTGACCTGCTCAAACTTCTGGGACAAGCTGGCGCTCCAGTACTGCGAGTGGCACAAGAAGGCGAGGCAACGGCTGTTCATGCAGACCATCCTAACGTCAATGCCCCACGCAACACCGATGAGGATGTTTTTTCGGAAACCTTTGGTGGCCAAGGTTTCCGAAAGCCACCAGCCTGCCTCCTGCTGAAGGATGACTCTGTTGCCAAATTCTGTAAGGCGAGAGCCATTCCATATGCTTAGCATGACAAAGTGTCGCAAGAACTGGACCAGTTAACGTCTCTAGGTATAATATCACCAGTCAAGCATTGTAATTGGGCGACACCTATTGTGTCCATTCTGAAGAAAAATGGCTCGGTCAGAATACGTGGAGACTTTAAAGCCACTCTCAATTCTGCATATGCCAAGGAGCAGTGCCCGCTTCCGGTAATTCAAGATGTCTTTGCCTCAATAGGCGGAGGCCAGTTCTTTAGTACTCTCGGCTTGCGGAATGCATATAATCAGGTGGTTCTGGATGAGGACTCTCAAAAGCTTTGCGTTATTAATACTCATAAAGGCCTGTTCTGTTACAATAGGCTTTCTTTCGGCATTTCTTCCACCCCAGCAATCTTTCAAAGAAAAATTGACACAATACTATCTGGCCTGCCTGGCGTTCAGGCTTACTTGGATGACGTTCTGGTCTCTGAAACCGTGGGCGATTGCGGAGCTAGATTACAAAATTTGTTGGAATGGTTCCGAGAGCATGGTGTGAAGCTCAGATACGATAAGTGCAAGTTAACTTTATCTTGGGCGTCGTATTGATCACGCTGGCCTTCACCCAACTGAGAAGAATGTAGAGGTTATCGTATATGCGCCCAGTCACAGAAACCTAAACGAGCTACGTTCGTTTCTTGGAATGATAACATCTTATTCTAAGTTTTTGCCGAACATGTCCGACACATTGTTTCCATTGTACCAACTGTTGGAAAAATATGAAGATGGCAGTGCAAGACGTCTAAGCAATCTGCATTTCGCAAGGCAAAGGAATGTCTTACGCCCAAACAACGAAACGTTCCTTTCCTTCAACCGCGTCCTCTCCTTACTAGAGGCTTCCTTACAAACAAGTACCGACGAAGGAAGCAAGCGTACTCTGAAAGCTCCCTTCACCCGTCATCGCGAGAGGAATGGTTGCCGCACTTCTGCGTTCGAGGTTATCGAACATAAGCTTTGCTCACAAGCGTTTATTCTGTAAAAAACGTTGGGTCACCACATCAATTCTCAATTGAAGAGTTTATAGAGATGCGTGTACGCTTTCTTCAACTACGATTACTGAATGTGAAAAGCCACCGTAGTCGAGCGCAAAATGTGGTGCGTTCTAGCAACACTGAAACGCCCGCCTCTTGAAACGCTGTTATGATGGCTAGAACGCTGTCAGTCGAAACGCGCTTCACGAGTCAGACATGCCTGCGAAAACACCCTTCTCCGAAGACGAGAAAGATCCCGCCAAGGAGCTTGTGAAGAAGTACAAGACCGTCAACGAAAATAAGCGTACGGATGCAATATTTATCAATGCAAAAGCCAAGGCATGGGAAAAACTGTGCACGGAATTCAACAACAGGCCCTTTGTGCGCCCTCGGGACGTCAAGCAGCTAAAGAAGCTGTGGGATAACATAAGGCAAAGTTGGAAGCGGGAGAAAGCGAAGCACATCCGTGACGTCTTCACTACAAGCATGTTTCCCTTCTCTGTAAAAAGGTCGCCGGTGCTACGAGTTTTGGGGTATTTGCAGGAGGCGGCCCCCCACCACCATGAACGAAAGGCTCGCGCAGATCAAGCCATTGTTTCGCACCTGACCACGCGGGTGCCAAATCCTTTTGACAGCGACCGGTCGCTTGACACGCCAGCAGCATAAAGCGCGTCGGAAATTCTGAACAGGACGGTCTGTGAAAATGGACCAGCTGACAGTGATGAAGGTATGCCGCCTTCTGTGAACTCAATAGCGCGGCCACGGAGGTAGAAACCTCTGCAGGCAACGTGGGCGTTTCTAGCACACCACAGGTCACGAAAAGCGGTTGTGCTTATACGCTGTTGTGATGTGAAAATGCATGCAGAATCCTGTCCGATTTATCTGCACTGCCACCCTGTAATGCCCTGTTCGATCTTGCCTCTTTTTCCATTGCAGAGTAGTACACATGCATGATCAACTTTGAGGCCGACCTCTCTGTTTTTCTGTATAACTAGTAACAGTGCAGAAATGCACAAACAAAATATGACAATCTGGTAGACTGCTCTTTTAACTTTCAATTACTTGGGTGAGCGCCTGTGCCAATTACGGTGGAATTTTTCTTTCATGCATAGAAATATGTTTCCCGTGCTGAGCATGCTGCCCCACCAGTATCGTGTACATAAGTGAGCTGTTGTCAGTGCATGCAGGTAATGGTGTTTATTGTCATTTCAATGTATACAAACATCTAGTAAATAAAGACCGTGAATAATATTGATACTTGTTTTATGAGGTGCTTCCTCACATTTCATCGCTTGTCTTTCATGGATGAAACAACACTTTTAATGCAGAACAAACAGAAGAACTCAGCCAAACTGACAGAGCAGCTATTCAGTCAATGCTGCAGAGCACTTGCACACCATCCGTGGTTGGTGAAGATAGCTCATGCTTGGACGATCCCAAAGTCGATGTGGACATGAGCCAAGAGGAAGCTGCTGAGCCAGGTGCACAAAGTCAAGCACCAACAGCTGGGTCAAGTGTGCGGAATGCCCGCAGAGGCAGGCTGTCTCTGTTGCAGCAAACACTCGACGTAGAACACGAGGCTCGCCTCGATGCTATAAAAGCAGATAAAAAACATGAAGAAATTGAGCACAATCAAAGAATGAAGTGTATGAGAGGAGAGCATGAGATCAAAATCAGCACCTTGAAAGAGCAAAAAAAAATTGCAACATTCAGCAGAAAATCAAGCTTCGGATCTTAAAAAAAAAAAAGTACAGAAACTGATGAAGACACTCCTAAGAAAACAGCTTCAGGCAGCAGACTCTGAATAAAAGATTGATTGATTGATTTGTGGGGTTTAACGCCCCAAAACCACTATTTGATTATGAGAGACGCCGTAGTGGAGGGCTCCGGAAATTTCGACCACCTGGGGTTCTTTAACGTGCGCCCAAATCTGAGCACACGGGCCTACTTTTCCGCCTCCATCGGAAATGCAGCCGCCGCAGCCGGAAATCGAACCCGCGACCTGCGGGTCAGAAGCCGAGTACCTTAGCCACTAGACCACCGCGGCGGAGCCCTGAATAAAGGAATATCTGAGAGCATGTTTTGGAAACTTGTCACTTTAACATGCAACAGCAAGCATATTTCTTGCAGTTGTTAATTTAACAGTTGTTTTCACATTGTTTTGGAGATGACACGCCAGATGTCTCAAATGTTATATTTAAATGTGACCAAGTGTAGTGTCTGAATGTACATGTGCCTGTTCAGCTGATGTTTTGGAGTTTTCATAAAGTAGTTTGAAGATATGAGCTATGTCATGTACACCTTTCATTTACTAAAACACAACAGCGGTGCAAGTAACACTGCTTGGATAAATGCATGCAGCACTCTTTAAAGTCAACCAGACTGAAGAGAGACGATGTAGAGCAGGAACATATTTTTTGAAACAGCGCCTGAATGTAGACACTTACTTCAGGTTTGCACTGAATCTGCCTGTTCATTCCCAGAGAAAATACTGGCGGATGTAACAGCTGCGTACTTGTGCACCAGCAACAGTGTCGGGATCTCCTTGGCTAGGGTTGTCAGGTAAATTACCGTAAAAACCCGCGTATAGCCCGGGGTTTTTTTCTAGATTTTAGGGTGCGAAATTTCGGCCCCGTACTATATGCGGGTCCCAAGAATTTTCGGCCCAAATTCAGTTTCGGTTTCGGCATAGCGCGGTGCTATCATCATCATCAGCTGTCTGCGCGCTTCTGCGCTAGGTAGTGTTAGCGGCGTTAGTCTTAACTGGTCAGTTGGTCAGTGGCCTTTGCTTCAACTTGGTGCCCATAATGACGGCCTCGATTTTGCTCCTGTGATTTTACGCCATGTCAGGACCGCGCAGGCAGTACTCTGCTGCTTTTAAAAGAAAAGTTATCGCTGCTGCCGAAACCATCGGCAACTGTGCCGCGGAGCGGCAGTTCGGAGTCAACGAGCGGAGCATTCGCGGTTGGCGGAAGCAGAAGGAAGCCCTCTTTGCATGCAGCGGCCAGCGAAAAAGTTTCCGCGGACCAAAAAATGGAGCATTTCCTGACGTGGAACGAGAACTCACAGACTTTGTGCGGGAGCAGCGAGCTGCACATCTCGCTGTCAACATCGAGCTGCTACAAGCGAAGGCAAGGGAGATCGCTCGAGACAAAGGCATTCAGCCGGAGGATTTCAAAGCGAGCAAGCATTGGGTGTCTCGCTTCATGCGCCGCGCTGGGTTCTCCCTACGTCGGCGTACGTCGATCTCCCAGAAGCTACCAGAGAGCTACGAAGAGCACCTCGTGGCTTTTCAAAGGTACATAATTGTGTTGCGAAAGGCAGTCCCCTTTCAGCTGGGCCAGATCGGCAACGCGGATCAGACGCCGGTCTACCTGGATATGCCCTCGGCGCTGACGGTGCATCAAAAAGGCTCCAGGCAAGTTATCGTGCGGTCGACTGGAAACGAAAAAACGCGGGTGACTGTAATGTTATCCTGCACGGCTGACGGTCGCAAGCTGCCACCCTACGTGGTGTTCAAACGAAAGACGCTGCCGAAGGGGGAGAAGTTCCCGAAAAATGTCGTCGTCCGCTGCCAGGACAAGGGGTGGATGGACGAATCGTTAGTCCTTGACTGGATAAAGTCCGTGTGGTGTCGACGGCCCGGAGCACTGCTGGGGCTCCCTTCGATGCTTGTGCTCGACGCGTTTCGGTGTCACCTGGCCGACTCCGTAAAGCGACTGCTGCGCGACTCCCGCACCGAGCTCGTCGTCATCCCGGGAGGGATGACATCACAGCTGCAGCCGCTTGATGTGTGCCTTAATAAGCCATTTAAGGACCATGTCAAGCGCCTGTACGTGGAGTGGATGAGGTCCGGAGAACCAGAAGTGACCCCTGCCGGACGGCTGAAACGGGCCTCGCCAGCGATGCTCTGCTCGTGGATAGTCGAGGCTTGGGCCTGCATTCCAGAGGCGCTCGTTTGCCGCGCCTTCAAAAAGTGCTCCATCTCCAACGCGCTTGATGGCACTGAGGATGATGTGCTGTGGGAGAACATTTCCGACAAGGGAGCTTCGGAAGAGAGTGCGTCCGACGACGAGGATGAATGAAATGTCAATAAATGCATTTTTTCCATTTTCCTCGGACTATATTCGGGTGAAAACTTTTTTTCTCACGTTTGCTATCCCCGAATTACACCCCGGACTATATGCGGGTCCGAGCTATATGCGGGTTTTTACGGTAACGTCGGGGTCTACTTCATCAGAGAGTGGACATGGGTACCGACGCAAACAGGCAATGTTGCATAGTGCTGCACATGCTGTTATGATAGCTGCCGACCGATCAGTGTCCCTCAGCAGCTTTACCCGCAGGCATGCGAAGCGCCTTTTTCACACTTCAAATGTATGCTTTACACTGTTTCTTGTTTTTATCTGGCTCTTGTGCCTGCACGAAACGAGAGAATGTGCAAATCATGCATGAGCAGCAAGCACTATGTGCAAAAGCATTTGTGAACATGTCAAGATACAGCCACTGAGACATCATCACAATTATTAGGAAGAAACACTTGTTTTTGGACATAACAACTTGCGTGTTCCAGTTTAAATGTGTTTTAATACATCCTGTGTTATTGGCATGTGCACATAATGGGTACAGCATGCTTTTTGAGATAACAAAGAATGGGCTGTGGGACAGCAGACAGTAAACCTGTTCTGAGACTACAGTGAAGCATGTGTATGCTTGTATGGGAGCAAATTTAAAATTTAAGCGGCTTGCGTCTAGGAGTACCTTTTCTCTTTTTGTTTTTACAGTGGGCTTATTACAGTTGCAAGTACTTCATTTGGTCCAAGAAATTTTGACGTTTATCTTATCAACAGCAGGTTTTTAATCTAGTTTTCATAAGCAACACTGCAATTTTAGTACTTCAAGTACTAATGTGCCAAGTAGCGCATATTATAATTTCCATGCTGAAGTTCATGTGCTGTTACTTCTTTTCTGCACGTGTTTGAGGATTCTTTAGTGGTGTCATGAAGAATGGTAGGCACGCATACCACTGGTCACCAAGGAGAATGCCAGGTACAGTCTTTTGTTCCTAGAGTGCCATCACTTTGCTCTTGCTGAATATTCTGCAGTCATGCTAGATACAGGCCAACCGGCAACTACATCAAAGAATTGGAGCTCCTGACCAGTGATAGCCTGTGACTTAAGTATTGTGCATTTCTTAGAAATGGTTGCACACAAAAGCAACAGCCATGTTTCAATGTGTGTAACTTGAAAATTTTTAAAAATGTGCACTTCCCCACCACGAATCCTCATGCAACTGTTAAGCACACTGTGCCCGGATCAAAGTGGCTAATACAATAGGCATTCAAAACCTTGGTTTTTATCAACCTACATGACAGTTATGCAATTTAGAACAGTGCATTGATGGTGCATATTTACTGAAATTTATTTTAAGTTACTGATACACATCATAGTCATGGGTACGACATTACTGCTTATCACATTACCATGTTCAATGCGAGTCAAGCTACTTAAAAAAATGGCAATTAAAAAGAAAGTGACATTCAATAGAGTATTTTTCTGAAGCTGTAAGTTTCATATGTAAAAAAAAATTGGCAATGGACAGTGATACCTGAATGGCGTGTATTCACCATGGGCATGTGCAACGAAAGTAGCCCTATTTCTACAGC